AGTTTTTCAAAATCTGGCCGGTACAGCCCTCATATGCCGACGCATGTGACATATTCGCCGCCGGAAGCAGATATCTGACAGGTGCGTGAATGGGTATTTTCCGAAGAATTTTTCTGGGGTTTGGTTGCCTCTCTCTTGTGAACCTTGTGGTGTTGTTGGATTTTGCACAACACCAAGGAAAAAGAGGGAACACATATGAGAGGCCTAAAAAGGTCGCTGGAATTGAAGCATGACGATTGTTTTTGGTTGGGTTTTCTTTCTCGGATGTTTTCACTGCCTCTCTGATACCATGTGAGAAATAATACACCAGAAAAAATGTTATTGATGTTTTAACCATTATGAGAATGCACGGGAGAAAATATTACTCCCTCTGTTCCAGTTTATGTGAACCTATTTCCTTTTTGGTCCGTTCCAAAAAGAATGAACCCTTTCTAAATTTGGTAACAATTTAGCTTAAAGTTACAATTTTACCCTTAATGAGAAGCTTTTATAACTACACAAATACTCTGGGCCCCATTTGGACTTGTTTAGGACCACAAATTCCAAAAGTCTTTATTTTTTTCTTAAACTCCGTGCCCAGTCAAACAGGTTCACATAAATTGGAACGGAGGGAGTACTATTTTAACTATCAAACTAACACTTTCCCTCAAGCTGGTGCATATAAATCATATGTACCGAGCTTGTTACATATATAACTAATACGAGGACCAGTGAGGGTCTTGGTGAAAATATCAGCAAGCTGATCATTCGACTTCACAAATTTTGTAGCAATATCTCCCGAGAGTATCTTTTCTCTAACAAAGTGACAGTCAATCTCGATGTGTTAAGTTCTCTCATGGAACACTGGATTTGACGCAATATGAAGAGCAACTTGATTATCACACACAAGTCCCATCTGACTAATCTCATCAAATTTTAACTCCTTGAGCAACTGTTTGATCCAAATTAGCTCACTTGTTGCCATAGCCATTACTCGATATTCTGCTTCTGCACTAGACCGAGCAACCATATTCTGTTTCTTGCTCTTCTAAGACACCAAATTTCCTCCTACTAAGACACAATATCCAGACGTAGAACGTCTATCAGAAGGTGATCCTGTCCAATCAGCATCTTAGTATCCAACGATCTGCTCATGGCCTCGATCCTCAAACAATAAGCCTTTACCTGGAGTTGATTTTATATAGCGAAGATGCGGACAACTGCATCCCAATGACTATCACAGGGAGAATCCATAAACTGACTCACAACACTCATAGGAAAGGAAATGTCAGCTCTAGTCACTGTGAGGTAATTTAATTTACCAACCAACTGCCTATATCTTGTAGGATCGCTAAGAGGCTCCCCCTGTCCTGGCAGAAGTTTAGAATTCGGATCCATCAGAGTGTCAACAGGTCTACAACCTGTCATTCCTGTCTCCTCAAGAATGTCTAAGGCATACTTCCGTTGTGAGATCACAATACCTGAGCTAGACTGAACGACCTCAATACCCAGAAAATACTTTAATCTGCCCAGATCCATAATCTGAAATTGCTGAAAGAGATATTGCTTCAACTTACTAATACCATCCTGATCATTGCCGGTAATATCAATATCATCAACATAAACGACCAGATAAATATAGAGATTTGAAGCAAAATGTTGATAAAATATAGAGTGATCAACTTCACTACGAGTCATGCCGAAATCCTGAATAACTATGCTGAACTTACCAAACCAGGCTCGAGGAGACTGCTTTAGACCATAGAGGGACCGACACAACCAACATACAAGGCCACTAGACTCCCCTGAGCAACAAAACCAGGTGGTTGCTCCATATAAACCTCATCCTCAAGATCACCGTGAAGAAAAGCATTATTAATGTCCAACTGATAGAGAGGCCAATGGCGAACAACAACCATGGATAGAAAAAGGTGAACAGATGCAATTTTAGCCACGGGAGAGAAAGTATCACTGTAATCTAGTCCAAATATCTGAGTATATCCTTTGGCAACAAGACGAGCCTTAAGTCGATCAACCTGGCCATCTGGACCAACTTTGACTGCATACACCCAACGACAACCAACCGTCGATTTACCCGAAGGAAGAGGAACAAGCTCCAAGTGCCACTCGTATGTAAAGCAGACATCTCGTCAATCATAGCCTATCGCCTTCTGGGATGAGACAGTGCTTCACCTGTAGACTTAGGGATGGAAATAGAGGACAAAGATGACACAAATGCACAATGAGATGATGACAGACAATGGTAACTTAAACCGACATAATGAGGATTAGGACTAAGTGTGGACCGTATACCTTTCGTAGTGCAATCGGTTGATTAAGAGACAAGTCCGCGCTATTAGCAGGGTCAGGTGCAGGACGTGAATTAGCTGGGCCTGATGCTGGGCGCAAGCGACGATGATAAGTCAGGAGTGGTGGAGCTGTAGAAGGTTGAACTAGACTAGGTGGTGGCACTGGAGCTATAGTTGGTGGGACTGGACTAGGTGGTGGCACTGGAGCTATAGGTGGTGGAGCTGCAACTGGAATTGTAGGTTGTGGAGCTATGGAGGAAGATGAATGGGAGATAGGGACTGAATCTCCAAAAGAAAGAACTGGTAGCACCTCAGAAATATCTAAGTGATTCACTGGACCTGTGAAGTATGATTGGCTTTCAAAGAAGGTAACACCAGCAGACATAAGAAATCGCTGAAGGTTAGGAGAATAACATCGATATCCCTTTGCTTTCTCGAGTAACCAGAAATATGCACTTAAGAGCGCGAGGAGCTAACTTATCTTTTCTTGGAGTAAGGTCATGAACAAAGCACGTACTCCCAAAGACACTGGGAGGAAGAGAGAGCAAAGGTAAGTGGGGAAACAGGATAGAGAATGGAACTTGATTTTGGATAGCTGAAGATGGCATACGATTAATAAGATAACAAGATGTAAGAATTGTATCCCCCCTAAAACGCAGCGGAACATGAGATTGTATGAGTAGGGTACGAGCAGTTTCAATAAGATGTCTATTGTTTCTTTCAGCTACCCCATTTTGTTGGGATGTGTACGGACAAGATGTTTGATGAATAATCCCATGGGAGTTCATAAACTGCTGAAATGGGGAAGACAAATACTCTAGGGCATTATCACTACGAAATGTGCAGATAGAAATCCCAAATTGATTTTGAATTTCAGCGTGGAAGGTCTAGAAAATAGAAAACAACTCAAATTGATTTTTCATCAAAAATATCCAAGTGCACCTGGAATAATCATCAGTGAAACTGCCAAAGTAGCGGAATCCCAAGGTAGAACTGACCCGACTAGGACCCCAAACATCTGAATGAACTAAAGTAAAAGGTGACTCTGCTCGATTATCAAGACGCCGCGGGAAATCGGAGCGGGTATGCTTACCGAGCTACCATGACTCACACTCTAGAGTGGACAAGTGAGATAAGCCAGATACCATTTTCTGAAGTTTTGACAAATTGGGATGTCCTAACCGTTTATGTAATAAATCTGGTGAATCAGTAACGGGACAAGTTATTAGAGGAAGACAAGATGCGAGTCCATGTGATTTTGCAAGGATAAGGTAATAAAGTCCATCTGATTCATGTCCGGTACCAATGATCCGTCTTGTACTGCATTCCTGTATAAAAACAAGGTCATCAAGAAATAAAACAACAGATTTAAGTGATTTGGCTTAGTGACTAACGACTGTGATATTAAGAGGACTACCAGGAATATAAAGAACTGAGTCTAAAGGTAAGGAAGGAAGTGGACTTGCTTGACCTATTGCAGTTGCCATGGCTTGAGACCCATTGGCCATTGTGACTGTTGGAAGAGATTGAGAATATGAAATACTAGTGAAAAGAGATTTGTTACCAGAAATATGATCAGATGCACCTGAATCAATGACCCAAGACTCAGAGGTTGAAGATTGGGAGACACAAGTCATGCTACTATCTGTTTGAACAACGGAAGCTATCCCTGAAGATGTCTGTTTACATGCTTTGTACTGAAGGAACTCAATAAAATCAGGTAAAAAAACCATTTGGATTGGATTTAATGCATTGGATCCAACGGATTGTGAGTTAAACGCTTCTGATATGAATGCCATTATAATATTGTGCCGGGAAAAGTAGAAATTTTCTGGGAATCACTGTTCACGCCGGAAAAATCACTGTAGCTCACCGGAAAATTCCAAAGTTGTCGGAATCTGTCGGAAATAGTACCAATCGACTCGGAATTTATGTGCAACTAGGCTGTCCTCAAGAAGCTTGGCCAAAAAATGGTCGGAGAAGCACGCACGTGCCGACGCGTGGGACAAACGCGTCGGCGGAATCGCAGATCTGGGTGGCGCGTGGAGGTGCTTGGTGCGTCTGTTGCTGGAGAATCTTTTTGGGGTTTGGTCGCCGGAGGTTTCTGAATCTAATGGTGGTGATGGTTTGTGCACAACATTCACCAAACATAAGATGAAGCAAATCGGTCACTGGAAAATTGCACGGTGACTGAATTATTTCTTCCCGGATGTCGCTGGAATGACGCACAACGATCTTTTCTCATTAATGCTCTGATACCATGTGAGAATGCACGGTAGAAAATATTACTATTTTAACTATCAAACTAACAACCATGTTNCCTCCGACAGTGTAGTTTTCTGATAATTTTAGCCTTCGATATAATGCTGGCAATATTGAAATTCAAAAGTCAACATAATAAGTTTGGTTTTTAATCCAGTACTATATTTGATAACATGAATGGGAGGGAGAAATTCATTGATTTACTCCACTGAAATATTTATCATTTATGCCCGATTGTTTTCTATGGCTGGATAGGTAGTAAATATAATTCCTGCTTATTCAATGTTTAAGGGGCTGAAAAAGCCGCATTTTTAGTTATCTTTCTCCCTTATTTTCTCCTTACCAAGCAAGGGAAATAACTATTACTCTACTTCTTTTTTGTTTCTCTCCACCTGTCCTCATTCTTTTCGCCCCAACCAGAACGAACTAACTTTATTTATGTTTTTGAAGGACGCTCCGTCAAATGTTTGAATCATATAGCAATTTAGACAAGGAACTTGCATGGCATTTGTTCCGCCAAATTGTAGAAGGCTTGGCACATATCCATGGACAAGGCATTATTCATCGTGACTTGACACCTAATAATATATTTTTTGACGCTCGCAATGACATTAAAATCGGGGATTTTGGTCTAGGTAAGAATTTGCTTCATATTCTTAACTACTAAAAGTGTTTCTCTTTTGTCTTTACTGAGGTATTTGTCTTTTGCTTTCATGTTATATATGGCAATGGTTGAAGCATCTATCCTTTTTAATCAAGAAACAAAAGGAATTTCCTAAAGCAGTGCATTACAGAACTAGAAATATGATACAAGGATTAAGCGGATATTTTTAATCACTGAGCAACCCGATAATGTATTATCACTTTTCATTGGCACCAGATAATACACTTACAATCATGTCTTATGTAAGATTGACTGGGAAATAAAATTTTTCTCTGGGTAAACTCTTACTGTCCAAGTTGAAGAAGCCAAAAGGACTGACAGAAATTTGTGTGCAAACATGTGAGTAAAGTGAAGAGTGTCCAGGTTTTGTTTTGTTCTTTATTCTCAGATCCCAAGGGGAAAGCCTGAAATTTTCTAGAATATAAGGCATTGGGAGCTTTGCACTTTATACATTTTCACATATGATTATAAATGGATGTAAAGTTACTTTTCGATCACTGGGAGATACAACTAACTTTTTTCCTAATTCAAAAATCCATGTTTGAACATGGAATATATTTTTCCTACAGTGTCCTGGTTATCTTTTGCCATGTATAGAGGGTGTTTGAACATGGATGTAAAGCTACTTTTCAATCACTGGGAGATACAACTAACTTTTCTCCTAATTCAAAAATCCATGTTTGAACATGGAATATATTTTTCCTACAGTGTCCTGGTTATCTTTTGCCATGTATAGAGGGTGTTTGAACATGGATGTAAAGCTACTTTTCAATCACTGGGAGATACAACTAACTTTTCTCCTAATTCGAAAATCCATGTTTGAACATAGAATATATTTTTCCTACAGTGTCCTGGTTATCTTTTGCCATGTATAGCGGGTGTCTTTTATGTTCAGTATGTAAGATAAATTAACGATGTCTCTATTGTTTTAATTTATATTCTGGATTATTTTTTGAACGGGCTGCATGAATGCGGGATGCTTTCCTCTGTTTTGCCTGGTTGAAGGAACCTGAATTTAAACATATGGCGTATTTATAATTGAAAATTTCAGCCAAATTCTTGAAACTAGAGCAGCTGGACCAGGATGTAGATGCTGCCGAGATGATAGGAGTTTCTGTTGATGGAACTGGCCAAGTTGGTACATATTTCTATACTGCACCTGAAATAGAACAAAGGTGGCCCAAGATTAATGAGAAGGTAGCATTTTGTTACTTTCAGTGTTTTGCTTGATCACAACAAAAAGTTCTTCTATGCTAGTTTGCTTCTGACTCCATAGTCCTCAGGCTGATATGTACAGCTTAGGAGTTGTTTTCTTCGAGTTGTGGCATCCTTTTGACACTGCAATGGAGCGACATATTGTTCTTTCTGATTTAAAACAAAAAGGAGAGGTTCCTTCTGCTTGGGCTGCCGAATTTCCAGAGCAGGCATCCTTGTTAAGGCGTTTAATGACCCCAAGTCCATCTGACCGTCCATCAGCCGTCGAACTTCTTCAAAATGACTTTCCTCCTCGAATGGAGTATGAGATGTTGGATAGTAAGTAGTTGAGATATCTAGTTATAACTGTTTTATTTCCACCCCCTATGACTGTTTGCTAAGTAAATAGAGTTCAGACATCAGATAAAACAAAGGAACAGCGGAGTTATGCTATGCTATTGTTTAAGGAGATATCCCTTGGCTTGCTTTTTGTAAGTACTCTCATATAAGGAGTTGCAGTAGAAATGATTGGAGATTGTCTGTAAAGTGGGAGTGAAATGACAAGTGTTTTGGAAGACAAGAAATTAATCTAATTAATGCAAACTTAGCTAAAGATAGGGCATAGTGAAAGAAAACAACCAATATAGGTGATACCTTCTAGTTGGGAATAGGTTTTAGACTTGTTAGAGAACTTCTAATCTCATCATTATTATTATTACTATTATATATATATATATATATATATACACTCAACTTCTTTCACTTTTTTGTATGATAATGATACAAGTTGAGCTTAAAGAAAGAAGTGAGGATTCATAGAACCGACTACAACTTGTTTGGGACTGACGCATAGTTGTTGTGGCTTAACAGTCTAAGCACATTGAGCTAAAAAAAGGTGATTGAAAGTATTTTTAGACTGCTTAAATACCGTATGAGCATTAGAAGGGGAATACTAATTGATGTTCGTAATTGTATCAATCAATTCCTACTCAATTATTATCTTTCTCTACGTGTGTCCTGCTATACTATCTGTTTGAGATTTAGCCTGTAAAGCTATTAGGATAAGGGATGACCAGTTATATTTTTATTTATTTATTTTTAACCCAGTTACACTTTGTGGCCAGTTTTATATGTTCTTATTATGAAGTCCAGGTTTCCCCTATTTCCAGCTTTCACTTTTTTTTTTCCTTTTAAGTTGATCCAAAACTGTTTCTGTATAGACCACGGACTGGGTTAAAACTCTCCTTGGTTTAGTAGGTTGCTATCTTTGTTGAGTAAGTTTCTCTTTTCCTGCACTTGCAGATATTCTTAGGACAGTTCACATTTCAGATGACACTGGTGTTTATGATAAAATTGTAAACGCCATTTTCAATGAAGACACGTTAAACACAAAAGGCCATAACATGAATCTTGAAAGTTCGAAGGTGGTTGGAAGGGATACCTCATGTATTCTGTTCACTGATCTACAGACTGAGAGGCGCGATAATGTCGTCGAGATTTCCACAGAAGTATTCAGACGACATTGTGCAAAGCATTTCGAGATCATACCCATGCGAATGCTTGGTGAATGTCCACAGGAGAATAGGTGTCAATTTCACTGGTTTTCCTGCCCATTAACTTGATATAATCTTACCCTTCTGGCCTTCTCTATGTATTTAAATTTTTAAATTTTTGCTCATTCAGTCGAGAAAGAAGTGCTGTTAAGCTTTTGACTCATGGAGGAGACGTGGTTGAGCTTTGCCATGAACTTCGACTTCCTTTTGTGAAATGGATAATTGCCAATCGGGTACCTCATCAGCTCTCTGACTGATTTCATAATTTTTGGAACTGTATTCAATAGTTGTTGTTTCTCTTGCGCACGTTCACCTCCCTTAGAAATTGTAGAGGTATTTTTTTTTACCTCGAAAGTCTTAATACTTTTGGAAGCAAAGTAGCCTTATAGGCGATATCAACTAGTTGGGGTTAAGGTTTATTTGTTGTTAGTGCACTCACATTAGGTTCAATTATTCCAGGAGCCTTCTTAATTTGATTAGAGACATGTATTGCAGAGTAGGGATAAATCTCCGATTAGAGAATCCCTACTTGTATAGAACACATAATTTATCTTGAAAGACAAATTATTAAAAGGGTAGCCCAGTGCACTAAGCTCCCGCTATGTGCGGGGTCCGGGAAAGGGCCGGACCACAAGGGTCTATTGTACGCATATAGCTGTTGTGAACTCTTAAACCGTATAGATTTAAGTGGAATAGATATAGAGGAGTCATATAGTTGACTCCAACTAGCTTGCATTGAGGCATATTTTTGGTAGTTGTTGTGAACTCTTAAAACACTGTTTCTTATATCTTGACTTGTATATACTCTTGAATTATAATTACTTAGTTTATGGTCACCTTTTTAGGACTGTTCTGTGAATAATGGCAGTTTGAGTTCATCACTAAAATTGTATATTGCAGTTTTTGTTCTTTATTTATGTGACATGTTTTCCCGTGCTCTTGCTTTGAATTGCTTATCATCTGTCTTATTTTTGTGCTTCATGCCAGGTTAAGCATTAAATACATTTGTTTATGATTTGCTTTCTGATGTTTTGCTGTTTTAACTTGTCCAACAATTCTATTTAGTGCATGATCTTACGTGGCTAGTGGCTATGCACTCTTGTATCTTAATCCCCAACTCCTCTTCATCACTAAAATTTTATATTGCGGTTTTTGTTCTTTATTTATGTCACATGTTTTCCCCTGC